CGGCTCCCTGAAAGTGCCCGAGGAAGGTGCCACCGATGGGGCCGAGGTGGGGCCGGGCGGCGGAGAGCCCTGCGGCAGCCAGGCGAGCTTCATGCCTGACTGCCGTCCGGCCCGGGCTGGGGAGACATGTGGCCGGTTCGGCTTCCCGGGGAGCGATGCTCCCGCTGGCCGCCGCACCAGCCATGACTGCCGCCCAGCATGGGGAGACATGTGGCTGGCTCGGCTGCCCAGGGAGCGGCCCAAGCAGAGTCTCGCGAGGGACGCAAAACGAGATCAGCCGCTGCCTATTGGTCAAGGGAGACCCCGCCAATAAACTTTCTGATAGGGAGGGCCGTGGGAGGGCCGCATTTATATAGAGCAGGGAGGGCTGTTCGAGGGCCGGATTAAACCGGAACGCGGGCCGCAAATGGCCCGCGGGCCGGACTTTGGACATGTCTGATCTAGACTGTTTGTGGCCTGATGCCTTAACTGCTACACCAAACTGGTTCTCTTAAAATATCAAATTTTATTTACAGCCAAAAGTCCCAAAGCAACTAATATCATCTAAACTTGGCATTAGATTAAGCAATTTAACAAATAAAATATTAAATAAATGCCACCTAATACACTTAAAACTCCAACTCATTGATTTGTTACTAAGAACCTTCTTTTTATAGCCATAGTTAAAAATCTAGACATTTTAGGTTGACTTGAGTTAACACAGTACTTACCAACTATTTTTGTTTTTGATTTATTGGCTTAGTTAAATAGGTTTGCAGTACTTCTGTCCTAATCTTCCTTTTTTTAGCTGTGCTACAACTATATTTTGTCTGAACACAAATCTTCAGCTGCAATATAGTTTCTTTGAAATCATGCAAGTACACATCTAAGTACAGGTAGTCTTTGACTTACAACCTCTTGTTTAGCAACTGCTCAAAGTTACAATGGCACTGAAAAGAGTGAGCTATAATCAATCGTTGCACTTACGACCAGTGCAGCATCCCCCAGTCACATGATCAAAATTTGGGCATTTGGCAACTAGCATGTATTTACAATGGTTGCAGTGTCCCAAGGTCACATGATCTCTGCAACCTTCCCACCTGGCTTCTGACAAATAAAGTCAGTGGGAGAAGCAGGATTCCCTTAACAATATTGCAATTCACTTAACAACTGCAATGATTCACTTTTTGCCGTGTTTTGACAATGGCAAAAAAAGGTCACAAAATCAGTAGGAAACTAAAAAAAATTATGAAGTGTGTATTTTTGGAAATGAAGAGGCTTATCTTATTTATGTTACTAATCCTTTTAGCCAGAATTGATAGCTCCATGGTGCTGAGAGGAAAATATAGTAGCAGCAGTCTCCGCAAAGTATCAGCTAAACTGCTAAGATACAGATGCTTTATAAGGCATCTGATCTGTTCTCTTTCAAATTAAGGTTCCAAACTGAAAGAGGAGCAGTAAGTTCCCTCACTTTCTAATAGTTACATAAACTTATTCAGGATTAACTGAACTTGTTGAACCAATTTTCTGGGGCCACAAGTCACATTATACCAATATAACCAGTATGTTGCCAAAAGTGATGGAAGTAAAAACACCCGGAGCAGGATGGAAGCCAACATACATTTAAATATATTATTTAGAGATTCTTTGGAAGCAGTTCAAAAATTGCAACTGACTGAAAACAGAGCTTAATTCCAAAGGCTATTTTTATTACTTTTAAAACCATTTTTATTTTGGGACTGGAATCCTTAGAGAACTCATATTTTCACATAATCCATACATCTAACCTTTCAACAAAAAAAAATTCAGATACCATCTTCTTTAATTGATGGATACAAGGGGAAAACCCTACTTTTCTACCAAGAGGGTCTTGTAACCCTATTTTGAGATTAAAGACCACTTATTTGTTATTTGATCCCAAACACAGAAATTCCATAAATCAAATATTTCACAAATTATATTATTGGTAGATTATATGTTCATCTTCACAGCCAACACAATATAATCAATCCCAAAACTAATACAATATTTACCCAGGCTCTAACTACACTTGAAATTATACATTAATTACAAGGATCCTGTTTGTCTTAATATATTACAATGAAATAAAATAAATTACAGAAACCTCACTATTTAATACTATACTCCAGTTTTAAATACCTTAAGAATTTAATAACCACTGTGAGGATGTTAATAAAGTTGTATTGAGCAATTATGCTTAGGCAAATCAAAGCAGATCTGCATTCTTGGTGAAACGTAAATTCTAAATAAAACATGTTTCTTTTTGGAAAGCTTTGTTTTAGAAAATGTAATATTTATTTAAGATGTGTTATATCTGAATATATTATAAACACAAAATGCTATGTTAAGCTATAAAACCAATCATGGTATATACTAATTCAGCTAATAAAGGGTAGGCCCATCAGTTTCAGATGCATTCCTAGACCAGGGCTTTTCAACTGGGGGTACACGTACCACCTGGCAGATGGTACACGACGGTCCTAGAGAAGTGGTAGCGGGGCGGAGAGGAATGAGCAAGCCTAAGGGAGAGACAGCTGGAGCTGCAGGGCTGTCGGGGCTCAGCAGAGGCCCCAGGATCAGCACCGGGCTCCAGCTGATCGACGCGTCAGGAAGCTGGAGGTGTGCTGAAAAGGAGGGGGGAGAGAGGATATAAAAGGTTTTGGCGGGAAAGGGCCAGCGAGGAGCTGCCCCCTGGGCGTGTGAAGAGGAAGCGGCGAGCGCCCGGCATCCATGCTGACCGCCTCTGCTGACCACTGAGGAAGAAAAAAGGTAAGAGAAGCACTTTATTTTCCCCCAGGATAGCAGTGCTCGCACGCTCACCATCTTCTCTGTGCACCCCCAGGGGGCGGGGCAGATGCAGGGGGGGGGGCTTGCTGGCTCCAGGGCTGCCTCGTGGACCTAAGGCTGAGCACGTTCCGGCTTTGATGGCCCCCACCAGTAGATCAGCGCCACACTCGCTTGCTGACCTACCCTTGCAGCCACCAGGCTTCCCTTTCACCAGGACCACCCCTGCCTACGTAGGATAGCTGGCAATCTCTCCCCCTCCCGTCATCCCTTCCTGAGCGAGGAGGAAGGAAAGAGAAGGAGGGAGGGAGGGAGGAAGGAAGGAAGGAGGCTCTGAGGGAAGTCCTGTCTTAGCATTTGGCCATCAGCAGCCCTGCTGCCCTTTCGCCATCCCCTTGCCCCCTCCTCCTGGCCTATCCTGGTAAGATAAGATAACCTTTATTGTCATTTTTATACTGTGGGCACAATGGCACACATCAAAAATGAAATTTAGTTGCCTGCTCTCAAAGTGAAACACATACATGACACACACCTAATACATACTATGAACAACATATGTATAGACCCACATCCCTACATATACATAGCAAATAAATATTAAATATTGTCCATCTTGAATATATAACGGAAGGAGGAAGCTTGAGAGTTCGCAAGGTTAATGCTGTATGGAATCTCCCATCCTATTGCGAAGGATGCTTTGGTTACAAAACCGGGTCTCCTCACATGGAGAGGGAGTGGGCCTCCCTCTGACCCACGCACTTTGCCCTCCTGCACCCACCATGAGCAACATGGCCAAGGAGAATGGGCACATCAGGAGCAGCAGCCTCGAGGAAGCAAGTACAGCTAGGCGCCCCTTCAGGGAAGTGGAGCTGGACTGGGTTGGGCTGCAGGGTCCTGGTGCCCCGGGAGCTTGAGGGCCGGGCTGGGCACTTGCCCTCCGCTGCCCAGGGCTCCGGGCAGCCCACACCACCGTCTGGGAGTCCCCCATGCGGCTCAAGGGGGACATTGAGGCTCCTCCAGTGGACCATGCCCTGGTGCCCACCCCCTCCACCGGAGACCCCTGGATCTCCCAACCCTGCCTGCCCCCCCAGGTGCCCCCTGACCTGAATGATGTTGAACTGGTTATGCCCCCCAGCCATTGACTTTGCTTGTCAAAAGGTTGCAAAAGGGGATCACATGACCCTGGGACACTGTGACTGTCATTAAGTATGATTCAGTTGCCAAGCATCCAAATGTAAATCATGTAACCCTGGGGATGCTGCAAGTCATAAGTGTGAAAAATGGTCATAAGTCAGTTTTCAGTGTTGCTATAACTTTGAACAGTCACTAAGCGATTGTTGTAAGTCAAGAACGATCTGTACTTTATCACTTTTTTTCTTTTGGGGGGGGTAATCACATTTTTGACACCTTGCTAAGCGACTGGTGGTACTCGAATATTGCCGTATCCTAAAAGTGGTACAATTGGTGAAAAGGTTGAAAAGCCTTGCAATAGACAATACAGCCAAAAGTAGTGTGAATATATCACATAAAAATAATGAGAAATAATACTTTGCCACTAGAAATTCTGAGGCTTCTACTGTTTTTCATACCGTAGTCAACTGTATTCTTTTGGGAAGAATTTCAGTTTGAGGGTATATTAAATCTGTGGAAATCACTGAAATTCTTCACAGGCAAATACCCCTCTGAATCTTAGTCATAGAGCAATTCCAGCATGGCTATTTTGAGGCTGTCCAAAGTCTTTTGGGTGTATGTGCTGAAAAGATTCAGTCATTTAAAAAAATACAGTCCTAATTACAGAACATTAGCCAACCCCCAAGCTAAGCACTAGATTATTTAAACAAACTCTTTGGACTAGATATATATTTATATATTTTTTCCGATTTTCATTTGAAACAGAGTTTATTTATGTTAAGGACAAGACCTTAGTGGTGGAACCAGACATAATGTGCTGTTTTTGATGAAATACAAGTTGCCTCTCTGGTTTTAGAATATTCACTTCAATATTTCTATTCTGTGTTTAAACTATACACACATCAGTTGTTTTATGCTATCTCCAAAACTATTATTTTTCCTACACTGAAAGTTCATAATGTGGGATTGGGCAATCTTAAGAATCACAGACCTCACATTTACTTGTAAAATATTTTGTAAATATTTTTGGGAGGGACTGAAGACCATAGGAAATTATAGTTAATAGTATGTTGTCACTATAGTGAGTAAAGGCCAACCAGGGAATCCAATTTTTGGGAACTGGGTAAGTTTTAAAGAAGAATTTGAGTGCCTTAAGTCTACCAGAAATGTGAGATACCCACATTGACTCTTTTTTCAAATCCCATTTGACCACTCCTGCTTCTCCTAATCATTCTATTTAGCTCCTTGGAAGATTTTTCCATTGCCATCTCTCACTCACTTTGAGTCTCTATTTTTTTTCTCCTTGGAAAACTAAGCATCCAAACAAGTTTAAGACCTACATACCATCTGCCATTTTGATTTTCAGCACACTAGCATCTCATAACTGAGGCAGTGAAATTTTTTTTAAATAAAAAGCAGAAGAGATCATGTGAAAAATATATACAAGGTATCTACTTATATCATGTTGAGGGCCATTTGTATTTCAGTTTCACTGAAATAGACTCACAAAACTGGAAGTCAGCCTCATAAGAAGAAACAAATACTATGCTAAAACAACTAAGAATATGGGTTGTGGCCCTACATAAACATGTAGGGAAAAAAATAAATGGTTAGATACAATGAGGAGGCAATACAATATAAAAAGACGAAATTTATTATTTACAATTATACTTTGACCAGGTCGGCAAATAACCATGTAATGTATCCCATCCTGAAGTGCACATGAAATCAAAATTGCTTGAATGATACTTCTAAGGAATGAGATATCAGAACACTGAAGTATTTTGATTAATGAAGTGAAAGAAAAACAACTGGAAATAGAAAATAATTCAAAAGATGGAACGCAATAACAAGGATGATATTTGGATGGTTCACACAACCATCAGTTTCTGCACATTAGAGCCACTAATATCTTCCAGTAATGCACAATGTTTTGGGGATAAATGTTGCTATGGAGAACTTCTCTTAGCGATGCAGTCTATAGCGATTATATCGCTTGTACAAGAATTTAATCCTCTTATTCAGATTATGGTAATCGTCAACAAACATTCGGTCACCCACCATTTTCTTTCTGCGAATGCATCTCTGCAGCTCATTCCCCCTCCATCCACGTAGCCATATAGGCCCCGCAATCAGGCTTTTGGGGTGGGCTTTGAAATCCCCTAAGAAGAAAAACACAATAGATACATTTTGGAATTCTACCACTTTGATTTTCAAAAAAGAAGTTTATTCAGTATTTTTTTTTATCACAGATTAGTATCAACTTCAATTGCAAAAGCATTCCCTTCCTAAATAAAGTAGCCACCTGAATATTAAGCAAATTAAAAAACGTCTTTCCCTTCAATTTTCTTATCAAAAGCAATCACATGAGTTTTTTCTCAGATTAGGAACTTCCATGACAATTTCCTTCTTTCAAAATGGGGGGGGGGAGGAGAAAAAAGAAAGATCCGTTAAACATCTGCTAGAATTACTAGAAAAGTTTGCAGGAGCTTGAGGGATGGTAGACTCCGTGTATTTCTCCTATACATGTTGTTATTGGAAGACATGTTGCTGGTAGGGATAATCTACTGTAAACTAATAATTACCCAGAATTCCAATATTATCATAGACACCGAAGAGTGCTCGTTTCTCATTCCATCTGTCAACCACTTTTGGAGGAGGAGGCTCTTTCACCAGAAATGAGTTAGGAACTCCTGATTTAAAAAAAAAAGAATAAAATAGTCAATGTTGCTGTAAAAGATTGCTTTTGAAAATCTTATTATGACAAGTCAACAATTGGAGCTTTTATGCAGCATATTTACAGATCAACCTTTACATAAAGTTAAATCCTGGCTGGAAATCCCATACACACACTCACAAAAAGCTCCCCTTCTATCTCATCCCCTTCTCGTTGCATCTGAAAAAGAAGGCGAAGGCGCTATAATTGATTAATGCTCGGGGTAGTAAAATAAAAGAAAGGGGGCCGAAATTTATCGCGCCAGTGGAAACGCCAAGGCAGGGTTCACGTCGACACTTCCCCATACGACAGCCCCAGGTCCTTTTCCGGCCTGTCCACCCACCTGTACTGAACAGCCGACGAGCGGTAGAGACGAGAAGGCTGCCCGTCCATAACCGCGGCGGGGCCGTCATCAGCCTCCACGCCGCCTCCATTGAGCTCCGGCCTCACGCCGACTCTTCCGCTGGAAGCCCCGCAAGGCAGCCGCCTCAGAAGCTTCCCAGAAGACACCGCGCCTCGCAGGTTTCGATTCGTTGTGGGGCGGCGGAGAGGAAGGGGAAAGGTCGCAACCACAGAGATAAAAACAATGAAAAGTAGATGTGTCAATCAAGTCAATCAGACATGTGTCTGTCTTGCGTTGAACACTATTTTATTAAATATCATTATAGCCAATTCCTTTTAACTATTCTGTTTAATTCTTTTTTATTCGTCCTCTCTTTTCTTTCTTCCCCCAATAGCAGTTAGTTTCTCAGGATTCTGCTCCACGGACGGGCTGATTTTTAAACGTGGAAACTTTTCAGACTGCTCTTCGTGACAGTTGAAATGTACGCGTCTAAAAGCCCCCAAATTTCAAAAATACTGAACTAAATCTTCCACGTGGAACAAGAGTCTTCACTGTTCTAATTAAAGAGATTATCCGGTTCAAGCTGAAATAATTGATTATTTCATCCAAGGCAGACATTGAGACCTGCCTGCAGAGAACAATGGAGAAAAATAAGGAGCTGTGTAATTATGTTTGTTTACGTAGAAGGAAAAGTTTATCTACCGTGGAAGTTACCATGGTACAAAGTTTACTTTTTAAATGTATATAGATATTTCAACCATTCAAATGCAACTGAACACTCCGTGTACTGAAAATAACAAATACTTTCCCAGCAATTGCGGAGTTGTACTGTATTAGTTGAAATACTTAGCAAGCTTATCGTGAACTATTCTGATTTCCTACGTCGAAATAAATTTTCCCTCGAAATAAATAACATTGTTTTTATTGCGAGTATAGAATCCCCTAAACCCCGCTGAAGATGTTACCTAGCTTGGTAACGAGATGTTCGGATACCAACCCACAAGTTTGGAGAACGAACCTTCGCCCTCATCCTACACCCGAACCACAGATATTCGCCACTATTGCAAACATTGTTTCTATTTGCGAGCATTTAAAAGTATTTCAGAAGCTGTTTTGTGGGTTACAAAACACATGAAGCACTGAAATAAAGACGATACCTTGATTTTATTTTTTAAGATGGGAGCCCCACTTTGTACCCAAAGAAATAAAAAATAGAACCATACAGCACTGTAAGATACTCAGTCTTCAACACAAATGTAACTCTATCCTTTTTCATAACTCTTCGCCTTCCGAAGCGCGCCTGTCCTTGCGGATTCGATTGCGGGCTATGAGACAACGATCGTCCTTTAAAGCGATTGGCTGCCGAGCTTTCAAAGAACAATCTGATTGGGCGAGTGGACATTATTCGAACTCTTGGCGCCTCATTTTTCCTTCCCCTATTGGTCTGCAAGTGCGCGTGAGAGGTGCAGGCCAAGTTTGATTTTTCCCTCGGTTCTGCCGTCGAGCCGGCTTCACGAGAGGTCGGGCCCGTCGGTCCTGCGTTCCAAAATCTACGATGCTCGGAATTCTGCCTGGCGCCGAGCTTCGGAGTGCGGGCATTTGAGGCCATTAGGCTGCGGATCGGCGGGATTATGGCTGACCCGACTTCGCTTTCGCCTCCCGCTTGGGAGTTCCATTTGCCTCTGTCTCCGACCGATTTGCTTCGCAGCGCGGGGTCCCTGCAGTACACGGTGCAGGAAGTGCTGCCCCTCAAAGAGCTCCCGAGACAGCTGGCAGGTTGGTGGGAGAAGCGGGAAGGGGAAATAGTCTCCTGGAGACTCCTCGTGTTTGTGTGCGAGTCGAAGCACCGTGAAATGGGAAGGAGGAAGGCGAGTAATTAATGTGAGTCGTGCCTTTCCATCAAAGCAGCGACAGAGGCAGCACTGACTAACAATCAGTTCTTAGACGGTGCTGTCAGGTATCCCGAAGTAAATAGGAATCGGATAGGTTGGATAATTCAGGATAAGACCGATGGTCTGTCTTCAACCAATACCAGCTATTTAGATGGTGGTGCGTTTAGTGATTATATAACAAACAGCACACTTTTAGGATGTAATTTTTTTTTACCCTTTTTGAAATTATGTAACACCCATTTTATTACTCTGATTATGTAGTGCATTTGTATTCTGCACCAAAATACATAGGATCTAAGCATAGACAAAACAGATCTACATTAGCTTCAGCAAGGTATACGTTCCAGAAAATTTGGAAAGACCAAAATCTAGTTAAGTTCCTTAAAAATAAGCTAATGTTTAAGCTAAAATGTGTTAGCATTGTAGCAAGGTTCACATACTGTATTACATTATCAAAAGCAAGCAAATCACAAGATGAAGCAGGCTTTTTTGAGTCGTTATGATTTATGGTTTATTTTTCTTTTAATGTAACTACATACCCTGCAACAGTGTATAAAATAATTAAGGAACAGTTCTAGTAAGTTTTTCTAAGTGAGAATTAGGCATACATGATCTCAATTAATAAAATCATGGTTCACTAACTGCATCTTGATGTACAAGATGTTCTGAACTCAAGAATTTTGAGTACCAAAAATTTAATGAGTTTGTGGTTCTGCACATACAATCCATTCCATGCTTTTTCACTTTGACAGCTTTATTTAAAGAATTATCATGTTTGTTGTTGTATCCATTACAATTATGTTCTTGTTAAACCATCTAGAAATCTGCAAATAGGGTCAAAGCTATTTTCTGCCAGTTGATCTGGAGCTGGCATTTCTCACACATGGATTTTCTTTCTGCAGTATTTCAGACAGCATTCCAGACACAAGGAGCGCTTGCTATCCTACAGCATTTTGATACTCTTTTCAGTATTCTACAGTGAGTCTGCATGTTACTATTGGTATTGTTGGAGGGAGCTTTGGTCTGAGGATTGAGATGTAACAGCATTGAAAGAAGTGAACGTGTAAAGAACAGAAAATGACAGGGGAGTTCTTTCTGTCCTAATTAGTCATTTGCTAAGGAAGCCATTTAATTTCCTGTACCCACTTTGCTAAATGGCAAAGAGAGAGGGTTGAGACTGAAAAGAATTACGTATGATATAAATGATTTGTAACTGAGCTTTGGACATCTTAGATGCATTATGGGAAAATTCTGAAATGTTCCCAGAAGTTCTGTTTCCAAAATTAACACAAGCTGAATGTACAGTGGCAACTTTAGATAAATGGGAATACATGGAACTCTTTAAAAGTAATGTGTTTTGGCTTAATATTCATGTTTTGCAGCTACTTCAGGACTGTAGATACTGCGATGAAGGAAGATGCCTTAGAACTGATGATGAAAGGTAAATATGGTCTAATAATAGCATAGGAAATACAAGTTCTTACTGCAGCTAAATGATGATAACAAGGCAAATGTGACCTCATCAGCAGGTTGCTCCCTCAGCCTGTTCCTTGCATAATGGTCTGTAATCTTGGTGGTCAATGCAGAGTAATGTGTGTTCACTGTAAGGGCAGACCTACAAGACATCCCATTCCTTCTGTCTTCCATCTTTTTGGAATGAGAGATCCATCATTTGCATAGTATTGCAAGAGGTGGCCAGGGGGGTGGATACAGGATAAATCTAGTGTGCCTGGGTAATGGGTTGCTGGTTGCTCCAGACTTACGCTGATAGGATACCATGAGCACAAGTCTTTGGTAATCTGAAAGCTGTCCTGAATTCATATTTAGAACAAATATCTGTTGAGAGCGTGTCTGAAGATGGTACCTTCCCACTTCTCCTTTTAGTTGTGACTAGTCAATCTAGTGCCCTGACAACCATCCTGAATGATTCGGACCTGACATCGTCCCTTCGGGTTCTCCATCTTAATGCTCTAAAGATGAATTGTTACATACTGGTACGGCTAGTGGAGGCATTTGAAATGGAATCTGGCAAGACCAATCTAGTGGGATTGAATTCCAAGGGGAAGGTAGGTGGCTTGTGTCTGTTTGCTAGATGTTTACTTCTGGGCAGCTTTTTCCCCTTTACACCTGTTGCCCTGAAATCTGATTAATTTCAGTTTTACTGGTTGTCTTCTTGAGTGACTCCAGCAATGCCAGTTAGAGGATACGTTATGTATCCATATTGAAATTATGTGATCTTTTAAAATATAATGTTGTACTCATAGAGTAAAAGATAATCAGAAGCTTCTATTTTTTTAATATTTTTTCTTTCTGCACTTTTTTCTTTGCTCCCTTTACTCTTTATTAGTTTGTATTAGTTTTTATGTCCTTAGTAATTTTTTTAATAAACATTTTGAAAACCTATATTAAATTGTGCGAGTGGAGCTGTCAAATATCCCATTCTTATTTTTGCTATCCCAAACACATTGGCAGCTCAACTCTCAGACCTTGAATCGGCTCTGCCTTATAGGAAGAATCTACAGGCAATCAATTGAGAATATGTAAATATTTAACATAAGCAAATCTGGATACATCCAGAATTGAAATCAACAGAAGCAACTAATGTAATTTCTGAACATGACCTTCACATACATAGCTTTTGTGCATGTCTTTTCTTAAATTGATGTTCTGGATTTGTTTTACAGAGCAAGAAAAACCAGACTAAAGGCCTTGCTTGGGAGGAAGAAAGGCAGTCAATTATACAACTGTTCACACAATTACTTCAGTTGGACCTTCATCTGCTGTGGAATGGCTTGGTAGTGGAAGAAGAATTTGTGAGGTATAGAAATGAAAAAGGTTGAATGGAAAGCTGTTTTTAGATAAAACTTCACTGGGCTGGAGGAAAGTGAAGGGTCAGTCAGATGGGAAAAGAAGAAAGTGATATGATTCATGTGAGCCAAGAAGAAAACATAGTTTGTTTTTAAACTCTTAAGTACATCTTGATAGGATTGTAAAAGGTAAAGGAGTCCCTGCAGGTTTTACTCTTGTTAGTCATAGCCAATTTTAGGGGGCAGTGCTCATCCCCATTTCTAGGCCATTGAGCAGCGCTGTCCAAAGACATACCTGTTTTATCTACTTGCATTTACGTGCTTTCAGACTGCTAGGTTGGCAAGGGCTGTGGCGAATGACAGGAGCTCACTCTGCCATACAGTGATAGGACAGCAAAGCCCAGATCTTCTCTGGCGTCTTTTAAGCCACTGAATTATTGCACCTCTCTGATAAGACATACT